ATGACAGATGAACTTCCCTCCCCCACCACCAAAAACCCTCTCGCCCTGACTTCAGAGCCTTGCTTCTTTCTTCTCAGGAAGTAGTTCTGGGTAATCCCTCCTGGATAACTTCCCGCTGCCGGGAACCTCTCATCTATTATCTTGCCTGTTCACCTTCCCTTCCATCAGGGGAAAGAAAGCACTGCCAGTGGTTATTTATCTCTGTAACAACAGGTGCTTGCTCAAGGACTTGGCAACCGCAAGCCAGAGATAAAGATCTTTCAGTTCTTTACTCAGTGAGCTATTATCTGTGCTTGACAATAAAATGCCAAAATGTAGAATGTCCCACCTCCAGGGTTTCACCTGCAAAGAATGAGGCCATCATCTGCTACAAACAGAAGAAATTGGAGCTGGGCACATTAGTATACAATTTGAAACTTAAAGCCTGACTCAGAGGATCCCTGGCTGAACTGTTCTCTCCTGCTCTCATCCACAGCTCTACAGCTTCTCAACCTTCCAGGAACGCCAAACCCTCTTGACCAAGAGATCCTGCCAGCTTTTAGAAGCTATCAGGCAGCACTTTCTCAGCTTGGACCCTGAGGAGGGAATGACACAGTGAGAACAGATGAATGAGGTACTTGATTATCAAACTGTTTAACTCTGGAGGTGAGGCCAGAAGGAAGCAATGAACCCTTTAACACGTGAGTGAAACTTTCAGATATTAGGAGGAAAACTGGTTAACCTTTAGACGGGTGACTAACTAAAAATGAAAACCTCTACTCTGCTGTTTCTGAATTTATCACAGCCCAGGCAATATCACTCAGATGATAAAAGAGGATATAAAATTATATTATTCATCAACTGAATGGTGATGGGTGGTAACTAGACTTGTGGTGATCACTTTAAAGTGTGTACAGATGTCAAATTAGAATGCTGGACACCGGAAACTTATATGATAAAAGAATTTTTTTAAATTATTTTAACCAAATATCTCAATGATTAAATGTACACACATATAAAATAGTAGTTATCTGAAGTTGGCGGTTAAGATGAACTCATATGAGGCTAAATCAGTGGTTATTCTTTTCTTTATGCTTTTTTTTTGTATTTTCTAATTTTTCCACAATGAGCATATATATTGCTCTTATAACTTTTTTTTTTTAAACTGGTACCCAGGCATTCTCAAGTGAATCCATGAGATTATTAGTGTTTGTGGGTCAACTCTGTTTTGTTTTGTTTTGTTCCAGAAATTTAGTGTATGGCATTAGATAAGTTTAGGCTTGAATCCAATCTCTGGCACTTACTAGCTATTTAATCTTGAATAATTTATTTAGCTCCTCTCAGTCTCCTCTTCCTCTTTGTTAAATGGGACTGATAATGGCAGCTTCTCTCAGAGTGTTGTTGATTACATGAGATCAGGCATGCATAGCACAGTGAGCTGTGATCTCCTAAGTGCTCATGGGGTTTTACCAAGGGGATCAGCAGTCTGCCCATAATTCTGGTGAGGTCATATTAGGGAACTGTTTAATGATAATTAAACCTTTATTGAGCCACTAACAAAGCACACAAGACCAGCTAGCACTGTTCTGGGGGCAATGGCTTGGGCTAAAGCATTTGAAGACCATGAGAAGCCTGGCTCCCAGTTCCTGTCAATATCCAGGGTAGTCAAGGCCCATGTTCACAAGGGCTCCACCAGCGCCAGCAGCACCTCCCTGCCTCCCCATCCCCCAGCAGTCTACAAATGAACTTACCGAAGATGACAAGGATGAAAAGCAGAGTGGCCACACCTCCTATGATGTAGAACATGATGCTGATGTGGTAGGCAAGCTCGTCCTGGTCTTTGACATTGGGTACCAAAACAGGAGGGACCAAGAACCCAATCGCAATTCCAAGCTTTAGAAGACAGACAATCACCGTTACCAATGGCTAAGACGTGACAGCACAGATTTAAAGAGACTGCTAATAAGAAACATAATCCCAGTCTTTCTTAAAGCCCAAACAGGGACTGTTTCCTCCCTCAAGAGACCAGAGAGAGCTTTCTTTTGATTGACAATTCAATTTACACATACCTCTGACCACCCTCACCATCAATACCTATGGAAAAAAGTTCTAGTTGGGGTTCTCAATGCAGGCTGGCTCTTCTCTAGCTGCAAAGTAATAAACAGTGGTTCCTATACTCGCATCTCTATAATAGAGTAAAACAGTGTTGACTTTCTTCTTGTGTCACTTAAATTCTTGATTTCACTGAATCTGTCAACCAGGAGCTCAGAGACCAGCTGGGGGAAAAGTTTTACACCTTATGACCCCCAAGAACTTGCATTCAGTAAGACAGATAAGCCTAAGGTTGTTACGTCATTTATAAACATGAAAGTTTAAGTTCATTGTGTATAACGGTTGAAAAAGCATCAGTGGTGTGAGGTTATATGCAACTACATACATTTATACACACAGGAAATGGCACAGGCATACTGACTACAAACACAAACATGCACACACACACACGAACAAATTAAAACATCTCATATCTCCCTTGGAGTTCAAATTCCAGTGACCTAATACTAATGGGACTTCGGTGTTTCTGAGGTCACAGATGCCTTGATTCAGTAGTGACAAGCTGTGACACAACTCCCAAAGCCCTTTTGCCACACGTCATACCAAGGGGGAAATTGAAAAATAGCCTGAGAATTCAGGCAAGCTTCAAATTCCAAGAGTGAAGGAAGATAAGTAAGTCCTTTGTATTAAGGTGCCACTTTTCCTTTACTGTACCGAAAGAAACTACAGGTAGAGAAGCAATTTACTTTCATTCCACACTACTGCTCCATTCATCAGCTGCCAATCTGCTGACAGGCTCGACTGGTTTTCCAGCCTGTCGACTATAGCCACTCAGGATGGTCTCCAGTGGTTCCCAGCTCTGGAATGTTCACAAGTCATCAGGAATAGGCTCAGTATAGGGTTCTTCCACTGTATGTCATTGCCTAATCAACAAATCAAACAGATCTTTAAAGTATCTACCATGTGAAAAGCATTCTGCTAAGATATATTAGGGCAGCGGTTCTCAACCTTCCTAATGCCACGACCCCTTAATACAGTTCCTCATGTTGTGGGGACCCCCAACCATCAAATTATTTTCGTTGCTACTCTATAACTGTCATTTTGCTACTGTTATGAATCGTAATGTAAATATCTTTTTGTTTTCCGATGGTCTTAGGCGACCCCTGTGAAAGGGTCGTTCGACCCCCAAAGGGGTCGTGACCCACAGGTTGAGAACAGCTGGCTTAGGGCATACCACGATGTATATGGCAGGATTCCTGCCTTCAAAGAGCTTTATAATCAATCTAGTAGGGGCAGAGGGGATTCAAAACAAAGAAAAGATAACACAAATGGTGACATTTGTGTGTTGAAATTATAGAATGTCATAGTTTGAAAGTTCCTTTGTCATCCTCTATTACAACCTGATTGTTAGAGGGCCAAATGGAGGCTACATGAGGTTGAGCTCTAGAGGTTAAGTGACTAGTACAGGGTCATACAGAGTTCTAGCAGAGTTAAGAAAACAGATCTCTTGGTTGCTCAGACCAGCACCTCCTCCACGAGGCCTGGCAATGTCCTCTGGGGCTAAGAGTCTTGAGAAAGGCTCAAGTGAGCAGGCCTCTTCAGAAGGGGAGGTATTTCATGTCCTCGGAGCTTTATCTGATCCTCAGTCACACTGATTTGCCGGAGTTGAGTCCGGCTTCTTAACTGTTGATTTGCAAGACTTTGAGCGTAAAAACCAGCCACAGCAAGAGGGGCAAATGCAACCCTGATAGCTGGAAACCTATGTCCACTGCAGATGATATCTGGCCTCCTAAGTGCTTTGAAGTTGGAGATCTTGAAGTTAAATAGAATCCCAGAGGGTCCCTTTTGCAAGAATGAGGGAAGTGATGGGACATCATCCAAGGTTCTGTGATTCCTCCATTCCCAAAAGGACCCTGATATAAGATCACCTTATCCCCAGTAATCTTCTGCCTTGAGAAATAAGGATGGAGAGGCAGACTGGGAGAGTCAATTTTCATTTTCTATTTCATTCTTGCCCTTTCTGCAAACTCAAGGCAAGCTCTAGACACTGTTACATCATCAGTGGTCATGAGCACTTCCAGAGTGAATGTCACAATTCAAAACACATCTGTGCAGCCTGAGGGTTTTGAGTAACAGGAGGAAGCCATACTTTGTATAACGCATCGCTTGGCTCATGCATTTGGCAGAGCAAAAATAAACCCACCGGCTGCATCTGGGGTATGATTCCCACACTTAACCCACTACACAAAAACAACGCATATGTTCTATTGGCTCTGAGAGCCGCAGAACCACTGTCCCCATCACCGTCCACAACAGGACACTCGACAAAGCCCAGAGTCACGATTAAATCAGAACCCTGGCACAAAGCTGCCCTCCCAAGTGCTTCCTGAATACACCCAGACCATCAAGGTAGGACCCCGGGACTTCTACAAAAGGCAGTGAGCTCTATGTCAACACCATGGTGAGGGCTTTGGTCCTCATGGAACAGGGACAGAAACATTGGTCCTGTCTGGGCTCCTTGCAAAGATCCCAGGCACCTCATCCTCCTGACTCAGGCCAAAGGTTGGCCCTGCTCTTCTTGGTAGAAGGCCACCACCTCAGCAAACAGGTTCTTACCCACCCGACCTCATTCCTCCTCTGTGCATCCCTCCCCAGGCACACCTGCTCTTCTGAGACAGGTGAGCCCACTTTCAGCCCCAGGGTGGGGCTCCTATTGCCTCATTCTTTTCCCCTGGGCACAGTCACCAGGTCAGAGTTGGGCCTGTTCTCTCAGATTTCAGAAGTCCTAGGAACTGGCTCCCTGGCAGTAAGGGTCAAAAATGCCCGCTTATTGGGTCAGCAGTGTTCCCTGTAGCAGAGTCCCCCAGCTTGAAGACTTACTTCAAACTTGGCATCCCTATGACCTTCTCTGGGGCTCACACCCATCTTGTTCATTTTTAAATGAACCCCTCACCGTCTTCCTTCTACCTCAACATTCCTCAGAGACATCTTCACTCGAATACAGTGGTTAGCGTCAGAAGGATCTGAGTTCAAATCCCAGCACTATCAGTTACTAGATGTCTAACCTTGGGCAAAGTTCATTCACCTCTTTGTGCCTATTTCCTCATCCGCAAAAGGAAGATAATATTACCTAGTTACACTACCTAGCTCTCAGGGTCATCCTGAGGACTAAATGAGTTCATACGGATGGACTGTTGAGCAGAATGCTTTACACCGTGGAGGCGCTCACTGCCCATCTGCAAGCCTGGTGCTTCCGCCCTGTGCACTCTCACACAGCCATGGGGTCAGGAAGGAGAGGAGAAGCCACCGGGCTCACAAGACACGCCTGGTTTACTTACAGCAGTCACATGAACCACCCTTCCCTGATTCTCCCTCTCTTCCTTCCCAGTTCCTCCTCTCGGCTCTTTCTCAGTTCTCTCCGTCACCCTTGACTCAGCCCTCTCACCTCCACCCTGTCCCAGGCCCTCCAAGCCTCTCAGGCAACGATGATCTCCCCTCCACTGCCCTGCACAGTGTATTCCGATGCACGCAGCACGAAGTCTCTGCTTGAAGACCCTGGAGGAGGCAGCCCTCTCACAGGGAGGACACAAAGCCAAACCCCTCAGCCTGCTGTGCTTGCCTTTCTTCACCTACTTTCAAGCTACCTTTCCAGTCCCATCTCCACTACTTCCTTCTATGTCCGCGGTACTCCAGCCAGATTGGATGATTCACGATTCCAACCTTTTCATCGTTTAGTCTCTACCTCTATGCAGGCAGCTTCCTTGCTGGGCAAGTTCTCCTTCTTTTAATCTTTCAGAGCCTATCTCAAAGTCAGTTCCATCACTGGTTTTCCTTGATTATCCTAGCTAGACATGATCTCCTTGCCCTAAACTCCTCTAATCCTTTAGTTTTGAGTTATTTTTCTGACACTAAGCTGCTGCCTGGTAAACAAAACAGGGCTTACTCAATAAACAGGTATTGAATGAATGGGCAGCAGTTAACTGACACATCAGAAAAATATCACTTCCCTTCCGGATAAGCCTTGAGCGCAGACCAATGGAAAGAGTTGTTCGGAAATTTAAATCTAGACAAGGCTCTCAGAGAAAGCTTGCTATTTTAAAAAACATGGTTGAGGGCCCTTTTAAAATCAGAGTCACATGGAAGATAAATTGGAGTTCAGTCTACATTTCCACATACTTAAATCCCATTAACACATATAAGCAAACTTATTAGCACACAGCATGATGCCATTCCCCACGAGGGTGTTTTTATGAGTGATGAGGCACATGTGCATATCTACACATCTCTATGTATACTAGCAATGGTCTTACTAAAGATTAATCTGATGCTAAGGTTCCCAGAGCACCACAGTTGAGGAACACTTAAGCTACATAGATAAATGCAGGAAAATGTTAGCGTATAAAGGGTCATTTGAGTCCATACAGAACTTATGGGCACTAAAATGTGCTAAAAATGCAGGCTGCCTAATCTCCATTCCATACAAAAACATGCCCACACACTCCTGGGATTGTGTGGCTTGACACTTGTGTCTCAGGTGTGGACAGCACGGTCACCAGCCAGGAGGCCACCAAAGAAGCTTCATCTCCCAGGACCATGTCCATGTGAGGGATTCGGTAAAACATTAGGAAGTGACTTCACACTTATTTCCCACCCCTGGTGTATACTGGTGTGGGCATCAAGCACCACAAAGATGGTGCTAGGAAGGCATGCTTGCACACTCCAATGCACCATTCTCACCCTATAAATACCCTTCTCTCTCTCTCTCTTTGGTATCATGTAGATGACTGCTTACATATAACTAATCTGGGCAAAATAATGCACCAACAGGGACTCCAGGATTC